CTGCTAATAGGGGAAACTAAACATATAAAATGTTTAACAACAGGCCCCAATAATTAAAAAGTTCAGAGTATATATCTCCATGATAAAATAACTATATACATATTAAAAGCATTAAAAAGAATTTAATTGTAAAGAAACGGGGTCTTGCTATGTTGTCCAAACTGTCCTCAAACTCCTCAGCTCAAAGAATCCTTTTGCAAGCCGGGCGTGGTGGCTCACAACTGTAATCCCAGCATTTTGGGAGGCCGAGGCGGGTGGATCACGAGGTCATGAGATCGAGACCATCCTGGTCAACATGGTGAAACCCCGTCTCTACTAAAAATACAAAAAATAGGCCGGGCACGGTGGCTCACGCCTGTAATCCCAGTACTTTGGGAGGCCGAGGTGGGTGGATCATGAGGTCAAGAGATCGAGACCATCCAGGTCAACATGGTGAAACCCCATCTCTACTAAAAATACAAAAATTAGGTGGGCATGGTGGCGCGTGCCTGTAATCCCAGCTACTCGGGAGGCTGAGGCAGGAGAACTGCCTGAACCCAGGAGGCAGAGGTTGTGGTGAGCTGAGATCACGCCATTGCACTCCAGCCTGGGTAACAAGAGCGAAACTTTGTCTCAAAAAAAAAAAAAGAGAGAATCCTCTTGCTTCAGCCTCCCAAGTAGCTGGAACTACGTACGGACGCCTGCCACCATGCCCAGCTAATGTTTTATTTTTTTTAGAGACAGGGTCTCACTGTGTTGCCCAGGCTGCTCTCAAACTCCTAGGCTCAAGCAGTCTTTCCACTTTGGCTCCGGCAAACTGCTGGGGTTACAGGTGTGAACCACTGCACCTAGTCTCAGAAAAATTTTTAAAACCCACAAGTGTATAAAATATGACCACATGAAAAATTTTTATATACAATCCTTATAGGTATGTAAGAAAAAGTTTTTGACAATATACATTAAATTATTAACAGATAATCTTTGGGTGATGGCATTATAAATAAGTTTTGTTCCTCTGTGTTTACTTGTTTTCAAAATTTTCTACAACTTAAGTATTTCAGTTTTGCAGCCACATAAAACACAATTTTAAATTATTGCTTTATTAATGTGCATACTAATTCACCAATAAATTTTATATATATAAACAGATTTACATATTTTAAGGATAGCAATTCCTACATTAATTTCTATTGCCTTTTTGTGGTTCAAGAGCAGTTCTTCTTTCAGAATGTAATTTTACTATTTCCAAAAGAAGAATTAAAGAATATCTGTTACACATACTTCTGTCCAATTTACTTAATAACTAAATTTGACTGAAAAGGCAAAGCAAACAAAGGTAATTTTCCCCTGAAGGCAAAAAACCGAGTAATTAGAATAATATGCTACTTGTTAAAATCACTGGGCCTTGAATGCACAAGCTGCTCAGCAGCCAAAGTTCACAAGTATGGGTGTTTAAACAAACCTAGACTGTGTTCACTCCCAAGAGTACTGAAATATGGAAGCTGTTAATAAATTCTTTTCAGTTCTTCCAACTAATACCTACTTCAAGACAGGTTTAGATACACTAAGAATATCTGCTATTTGGCAAAATGTAGATTACTGAAGCTAGGTGAGGAATGCCAAGACTTACGATATACTACTCTATATTTTTGTGTATATTTAAAATTTCCCAAAGTAAAAGGTTATTTTTATATTGAACAAGTTCTAAGAAATTTTAATTTCTAATCACCTGCTACGAGTTCTAAAAAAATAAAATCAGGAGAAACTATTAATAGTAAAAGTTAAAGCTTATTTCCATCAGTTGAAATAGCGTATATAAAGGCAAACTATTTGGAATTACTAGCAAAGGAATAAAATAAAAACAAACACCCTTTAGTTATATCTGGATCATTCAGAATATCCCCAATAGAGAAGAGTGATTAGCAACTCCAACGTGATTTAAAATTAAGGTTTTTTTGAATATAGTGATTTTGATTTAAAAACTCTCTGAATATACGTATTTCTAAAAGCCCTTCAATCTCTTATATTTTCTTGGGAAAGAGTCTAAAATATTCTTAGCTCTCATTTACCAGTTAGTAACATCCCCTCACAGAGCAATACAGTAAAGCAAATACCAAGATACTTCATTCAACCTATGACATCTTGAAATGCAGCCAGAATTAAACATCTATAATCTCTTTTCTTGTTTCATAACTCCAGAAGCTATTTCTTGAAACATATAATTGAGGAACAAAATAAAGTGAATGAAAGGTATTTAGTATCATTAGAGATAAACTGATATCTGTGTAATGGCTAAAGAGAACTTATCCTGTAATTTGAATTTGAGTAAATGGTAAACAATTACACAGCACTGTAACCACCTTTCATTGCTATAGTTTTGTGTGCTAATTTCCGACCACAATTTAACTTAGTGTTCCAATGTGCTTACGATATCATTTCAACAATGATTTAGGCCAGTGCTTCTCAAACTTCAGCATGCATCTGAATCACCTGGAGAGCCTCTGTGAGATTCCCCAGACCAGCCCCCAAAGCCTCTTGGATTCAGCAGCCTGAAGAGAGGAACCAAAGAATTTCTAGAAGTTCCCAACTGCTGAATTGATGCTGCAGCCAATCCACGAACCACACCTTGGGTAGCACGATTTAGAACGAACACTATGTCTTCATGTTCCCAAAAAAGAAAACTGAGACTGTAGGAAACATTATGTACTCTGCTCAACACTTCAAAGAAGTTCTGAAAGTACTACTCCTCTGTGCTGACATCTTGTGTTGAAAAACCTTTTTAGGAGAGCAAAAGGCTTACTGGCGGTGGTGGGGGGAAGGAAAAAAAAGAAATTAAATGAAAAGGAAAGGAAAGAAAAAAGAAAGACCTATAGTTCTGTTTTCTTATATTTGGTTTCCATAAAAACTGCATTTTAGAAAGAAATCTATGCTAAAAAGCTTCAAACCTCATTGTTTTAGTCCAATACCTTAATTTTAGAAAGGAGTAAGCCAACCTCAGACACATTAAGGAACTTCCACAGGCCTAACAGCCGAACTCCATCAGGCTTCCTAACTCTAAGACCAGCACCTGGGAGAGCCTCTTCAAAGCTCCATAAAGCCATCCCTGCTCACTCCAAGTGAAAGAAATTAATAATCATCATTCGTGAATGTGGATACTTGTGTTTCAGCCTTTCCTTCTATCCATCTTCAGATTTGCATTGAGAACAGGAAAATGGGACTGACAACTTTTCCTTTCAATTTCTCCCTTTTGCTAGACAGTAATGGGTTCAAGGCTTCCAGTCTTCAAGACAAGTATGTATGCCTGTGAAAGCACTAAATCAAGGTCCCCAAATGTGGAACACAGAGGATGAGAGATTCTTTAAGTTACTATACATATAAACTTTAGGTAGGTGCTTGTTTCTTATGGTTTAGGGAATCAAATCTATGAATTAATAAATAATATTGCTTATTAGGATGAGGCACACAGAATCTTCTTGCACAAAACCCAATTAACAACCCAAAAGCCCCATTAATATCTGAAATCCAAACTAAATGAACTCTTTTAATCATAGATGATAAGAAAATACGAAAAAATGATTAGGACGCATATTAACATTCTAAAAGCCTTTAACTTAATTTGCAAAATCTATTTTGAATGAACTGTTCTGGTCTTGCAAAGTTAAGGTTTAACTTGCCTTTGTCTCCAACTGTAATTAAGTTTTTCATCATTACCTAATATTTACAGCTTATATTTGTTTTTATTGTTATGTTCTATTTATGGCAAGACATGGCTTACCATTCATGGTAATGACATGATAATGAATGGAAACATATCACTGGACATGGCAAAACCATGAAGGTGATGAGCACATGGATAAAATTTAAGAAACTATTAAATCTCAGAGAAACAAGAACATATGTAGCTTACTTTCACATTTTTACTTTACGGGCAGTTTCTTAAGCTAAATATTACAAATATTTACATTATGTATCAGGTACACATTTTGGAGATTTTTGTTTGGTACAATCACTAACAATTACTGAAGGGCATTCCTATTCATCAGCCCTTCCGTGAGCGCTAAGAGGCCTCTCATCCACTTCAGCTATTACAGTGTGGTGGCAAAGGAGCATATACTTTCAATATAAATATTTTGGGGAAAAATGTTTTAAAGAGTGCCTCACACGGTGCTAGAGTCAAGGAGTGTCTTCTCCTTATTTAATAATCTATGATTAAGAAGAGTCTTACAATCAGAACAGATTGTTAGAGTGACATTTCCAGTTTGTACTGGCAAAGTTATCAGTAGAGGGTAGCTGTCAAATCTATTGTATATAATAAAGTAAAAGTGAATATTATAATTGAAGATATTAATAGAATCATAATTTTCTTTTTTGGATGTAACTATGTCACAAACAAAAAAAAATTTAGTGAAAAAAGTGGATTCTGTAAGCTGGTATCTACAGAATTTAGGATTGAGAGCATACTTGTCAGTTTAAATACATGGTTATTGCATTGTCTTTTAACATGGATATGCTTTCCTTAAGTTCGTAAGTTTTTCCTTCATTTAAAAATGCTATAAAGCAGTGAGCGCGTGACAGCATCCTAGGCAGGCCCTCCCAGCATAAGACACAGTCTCTGCCCAAAAGGAGCTCCTTGTCAAACAGTGGACCAAGACCAGGAGAGGAAGCTACACCCCAGGCCCACACAGTCATTCCAAGGAGAGAAGAGGGAGAGGTTCCCCACGCACCTGCCACACATGCCAGAACGGTTTTCCTTCCATTGGCCCAGTTCCCATTCATCTGAAGAAAAATCATGTCCAAAAGCCTTTTAATAGTTACAGGTAGACCTGGCACACTTCAGCCAGACCAAGGAAAAGGAAAGGGACAGAGAAGATGACTAGATACTATTCCTCATCACACCCTACATCTCCTGTGAGCTAAGAGGCCCTCAATCACAAGGGAGGGGACCTTACCTAGGTGATCTTATATGCTGTGGACAAAAGGTCACAAAACACTATTTAGAATCAGGTTTCAGAACTGCTTACTTGTGGGACGTTCTCTTCTTCATCATGTTGGCAGATACTCCAGAATGGCCTGTAAGAGAGATGAGTATACAGTCAATGAAAACCAGATATAAAAATACCTAATAACTCAAGAAAATCTTAACTTCTGCAAAACTGCTATAAAGAACATGAAAAGAAAACACACCATTACCAGCAAACATGTAAGAAAGCTATTTGTTTACTGAACTTTTAAAAAGGAGATACACAGAAGAGATTCTTGAAAGACATTAACAGAGGCAACAGTTCTCTACCCACTCAAATTAGCCATGAAAGCACAAAACCAGAACTGCATGGACAAGAGCTACAAGAAAAACTAAGTGTCAGCCTGGCGTAGAGGCTCATGCCTGTAATCCCAGCACTCTGGGAGGCCAAGGCAGGAAGACTAGTTGAAGCCAGGAGTTTGAGACCATCCTGGGTAACACAGCAAGACCTTGTCACTACAAAAAAATAATGAACCAGGTGTAGTGGTATGTGCCTGTGGTCCCAGCCACTCAGGAGGCTGAGGTCGAAGGAGTGCTTGAGCCCAGGAGGTTTAGGCTGCTGTAAGCTGTGTTTGTGCCACTGCTGTCCAGCCTGGGTGACAGGGAAAGACTTTGACTCAAAAAACAGAAGCAAACAAACAAAAAACCTAACTGGGCAAAGTGGTTCATGCCCATAATCCAAACACTTTGAAAGGAGGCCAAGTATGGTGGATCACTTGAGGTCAGGAGTTTGAGATCAGCCTGGCCAAGATGGTGAAACCCAGTCTCTCCTAAAAATACAAAAAATCAGACAGGCATGATGGAGTATGCCTGTAATCTCAGCAGTTGGGAAGCTAAGGTGGGAGGATCACTTGAACCCAGAAGGCAGAGGTTGCAGTGAGCCAACATCCCACCACTGCACTCCAGCCTGGGCAACAGAGTAAGACCCTGTCTCAAAAAATAAAATAAAATTTAAAAAGACCAAAAGACCAAAACAAGACTAAGTGACAATCCTAGCCATAAAGTGCTAAATGATACAGAACTGTCTTACTGTCATAAACAACTGAAAAACAGGATGAAATATATGAAACACCTGGTTTTAGACACTGGGCAATAGGCAGCACAAGTGCGTGGGACGTGGGAGCAGAAAACACAGAAACCGTGCACAGGCCCGGACCTCATTCCTGAAAGCAACTTTTGGGCAATGGTACATGAAGGGGGAACCATGAACACCATCTTTTTACCACGTTGTAAGTCAGTGGTGAGGGTGGGGTGGCTGGAATTTGTGGGAATGCATGTGGGCAAGAAGGGATCGACTCAGAAGGAAAATTCAAAAAGTCGGCATTTGAGGGAGGATATCTTAAGTCTTTGGCTACACACAGATCTGCACATAATTCTGAGAAGTCACAAAGGGGTATAGTTGTTTAGATCCCATCGTCACCTCTTAACACTTGGGGAAATCAATATGCTATGATTAATATGCTAAAGTCTCTAACATAATGTAGACAACGTGAAAGAATAGATGGACAATATATACAGAGATGGAACTTCTAAGAATCAAAAAATACTATGGATAAAGACTTTAACAGAAATGAAGAATGCCTTTCGCAGACTGGACAGGACTAAGTAAAATACCTCTGAGCTTGAGAACATCTTAATGGAAACTTCCAAAACTGAAAAGCAGAGAGAAGCACCCCAGAATATTAGGAACTATGAGACAAGTACAAAAGGCATAACTGACACATTATGGAATTTCAAGTAGGATGAGAAAGAAAGGAAGAGACGCAATGTGAAGCAAACACTGAGAATTTCCCAGAAATTAATAACAGACACCAAACCACAAATCCAGGAAGCTCAGAGCCAAATAAATGCCTGAAAAAAACTACATCTAGGAATATCAAATATTCAAACTGTAGAAAATCAAAGGTAAAGAAAAGAAATCTTGACCAGGTGCGGTGGCTTACACCTGTAATCCCAGATCAAGGTGGGCGGATCACTTGAGCTCAGGAGTTTGAGACCAGCCTGGCCAACAAGGTGAAACCCCATCTCTACTAAAATACAAAAATTAGCCGGGCATGGTGACACGTGCCTGTGATCCCAACTGCTCCAGAGGCTGAAGCAGGAGAATTGCTTGAACCCAGGAGGTGGAGACTGCAGTGAGCTGAAATCAGGCCACTGCACTCCAGCCTGGGTGACAGAGCAAGATTCTCTTGGAAAGGGAAAAAGGGAAAGGGTAAGGGAAAGGGAAAAGAAAGGCATCTTGAAAGAAAACTTCTCAGAAACCATGCAAAGTAAGAAGATAGCAAAGGAAATTATCTAACGTGTTGAGAGGGAAAAAACTACTATCCTACAGTTTTATATCCTACAGAATTATACCTCAAAGGGAAGGAGAAATAGAAGACTTTTCCAGGCAAACAAAAAGAGATAAAATTTGTCACCTGCAGACCTGCCTTGTAAGGAATGTTAAAAAGGAGACCTTTAGAAAGATGGAAAATATAGCCAGGCTTGGTGGTGGGCACTTGTAATCCTAGCTACTCGGGAGGTTGAGCCAAGAGAAGTGCTTGAACCCAGGAGGCAGAGGTTGCAGTGAGCCAAGATCACACCGCTGCATGGGCGACAGAGCAAGACTCCATCTCAAAAAAAAAAGGAAAACATAGGTCAGAAGCTCAGATCTATATAAAGGAAGAACATTAAAGAAAAAATAAATAAAAATAACATAAACACTTTTATTTATTCGTTTATTTTTGAGACAGGGTCTCACTCTTTCACCCGGGCTAGAGCAGTGGTTAACATTATGGATCACTGCAACCTCAAACTCCCAAAACTCAAGTGAACCTCCTGCCTTAACCTCCCAAGTAGCTGGGACTATAGGAATGCTCCATCATGCCAGCCAATTTTTTTCATTTTTTGTAGAGATGGAGTCTCACTACATTGCCCAGGGTGGTCTCAAACTCCTGGGCTCAAGGGATCCTCCCACGTAGGCCTTCCAAAATGCTGGGATTACAGGCATGAGCCACAGCATCACTGGCCTATTTTTCTTGTCTTAATTGAGCAACATTGTATGTGCACACAAAATGAATGGCAGCAGTGATACAACCGGCCTTGAGAGAGGAACTGGGAATACAGCCATCCTTCGGTATCTGTGAAGGACTGGTCCCAGGACCCCCTTCAACACCAAACTCCATGGATGCTCAAGTCTCTTATATAAAATGGTGTAGTATTTGCAACTAATCTAGGCAAACCCCCCCAAATACTTTAAATTGTCTCTAGATTATTAGTAATACCAAATACAAAAGCTATGTAAATCGGTATTATAATGTATCATTTAGGAAAAAAAGACAATAATGTACATGTTTAGTACAGGCACAGTGGCGTTTTTCTGGATATTTTCAGTTTGTGTTTGGTTGAATCCACAGACACAAAACCCATGGATACAGAAGGCCAACTATATTTTGTCATTATAAGGTAGGTGGCACTACCCTTGAAGCAATGTAATGTTATTTCAAAGTAGGCTTGGAAAGGGGAAGTTTTGTTTTTTTTTTTTTTTTTTTAAAGAAAAAAGCGGGGGGGGGGGGCAGAGGAGGGAAAAGGGGAGAAAAAGAGAAAGAAAGCAAGAAAGGGAGGGAGAAAGAAAGAGGCCAGATGTGGTGGCTCACACCTATAATCCCAGCACTTTGGGAGGCTGAGGCAGATGAATCACTTGAGCACAGGAGTTCAAGACCAGCCTGGCCAACATGGTGAAACCCTGTCTCTACAAAAACATAAAACTTGGCTGGGCGCAGGAGCTCACACCTGTAATCCCAGCACTTTGGGAGGCTGAGGTGGGCAGATCACCTGAGGTCAGGAGTTCAAAATCAGCCTGGCCAACATGGTGAAACCCCGTCTCTTATTAAAAAAAAAAAAAACTAGCCAGGCGTGGTGGCAGGTGCCTGGAGTCCCAGCTACCGGGGAGACTGAGGTGGGAGAATAGCTTGAACCTGGGTGGCAGAGGTTGCAGTGAGCCGATACCACATCACTGCACACCAGCCTGGGTGATACAGCAAGGCTCCATCTCTGCCCCCCCCACCCCAAAAAAAGCAGAAAGAAAGAGAAAAAGAGAAGGACAAAGAAATAAAGTAGACTTGAATTTCTTGTAAATCTATATTGCAAACTACAGGGCAATCACTAAAAAAGTTTAAAAACTTAAACTGGCTAGGGACAGTGGCTCACACCTATAATCCCAGCACTTAGAAAGACCAAAGTGGACGAACCACTTGAGCTCAGGAGTCCAAGACCAGCCTTTGTGACATGGTGAAACTCTCTCTTTTTTCTTTTTTTTTTTGAGACAAAGTCTCGCTCTGTCGCTCAAGCTGGAGTGCGGTGGCACGATCTTGGTTCACTGCAACCTCCTCTTCCAGGGTTCAAGCGATTCTTCTGCCTCAGCCTCCCAAGTAGCTGGGACTACAGATGCCTCCACCACACCCAGTAGAGACGGGGATTCACCATGTTGGCCAGGCTGGCTCTGTCTCTATTTTTAAACATTAAAAAAAATTATTAAAAATTAAAAACAATGCCTGTAATCCCAGCACTTTGGGAGGCCGAGGCGGGTGGATCACAAGGTCAAGAGATCGAGATCATCCTGGTCAACATGGTGAAACCCCGTCTCTACTAAAAATGGAAAAAATTAGCTGGGCATGGTGGCACATGCCTGTAATCCCAGCTACTCAGGAGGCTGAGGCAGGAGAATTACCTGAACCCAGGACGCGGAGGTTGCAGTGAGCCGAGATCGCGCGATTGCACTCCAGCCTGGGTAACAAGAGCAAAACTCCGTCTCAATAAAAAAACAACAACAAACAAACAAACAGAGAAATTAAAAACAAAAACTACCCTTGATAAGCTAAAAAAGGAAAAAAGTGGCATCATATAAAATGCTATTAAAACCACAGAAGGCAGAAAAGAGGAAGGCAAAAATAGGAAAAAGGAACAAGAGCAAAAAATTGACAATAGTAACATAAATATGATACAATATTACTCCAACTACATAAATAACCATTTTTAATGTTACAGATTTAAATAAACTAATTAAAAGAGA